ACGGCGAGTCGAGTCGATAGTTCCCGAGAAATGAGATCGATCCGAGCCGAACACCCCGACCCACTCCCGAAGGATCGGCCCCGATCCGCCCGACAATTTCTCCGACAAATCCGATATTCCTTTCCCGATGGGAGATACGGTCGGGATATGGGGCGAAAGTTGACGAAGTCGGGCGATCGGCCCGTTATCGCGCTTTACGGCGACCGACGCGGGATATCGTCCAGGTAAACATTTTTAGCGGGAGATCCGAGAGGTCCATGGGGAGGCTGCGAGGATCTCGGTTCTTGGACGGGCGCATCTTTTTTCTCGGCCGGTTCCATTACGTTAAGCCCATGAAAATGTACGAATTGCCGCAATTACTCAGCGGAATTATTAGGGGTTGCGAATCGCCCCTCCGGCTCGACAATTTCTGAGATAAATCGAATATTCCCCTTCCGAGGGGAGGCCGCGATATGGGGGAAACTTGACGAAGTTGAGTCACCGCCTATACCGAGTCGTTATAATGCTCCGCAGAGGAGCGGCGCGAGATTCGCTCGATGTGTCGTAAAATGACGAGATCGAACCGTTATCATGCCCGTAACGAATACGAGCCAAGTTTGGATTAATGCGCGGAATGGGACCGCGCTTGATTAGATCGCCCCAGCTCCGAAATCCCCTCCGAGTCGCCGAGAGAAATTTGTCAAAAATTCCCGGGTACCTCGGAATTCCTTCCGCGAAACCGCCCGAAACTTCGAGAACCCCGCGAGGAGGTTAGGCGTTACCGCGTAACACCGCATAATGTAATAAGAGCTTAAAGCCCGCCCTCTCTCGAGGAACCTCCCGTGGACCGACTTAATGGAGCTCGCTCGGCTCGGAACGCTCGCAGACTCGATTTCCTTCTTCCCTGGCCGACTCGTTCCCGGCTCGTTTTGACGCAAACCTCGCCGCGAGATTTCCGAAACCGGAGAGAACCCTGCCAACGGGAAAAACGCCGCGCGTGGCTCGAATGGCGGAATCGCCGCGAGACTTCCGAGGAACCGCGGTTCTCCCACCTGGAGAGGAGGGAAAAAATTCCCCGGATTACGCCGGCGAGAAAAATTGTCGTTAAAACGTCACCGTCGAGGCGCGATTTTCCCGAGTCGAGGCGATCACGGCGAAATTAAGAAGTCCCGACGACACGAGGCGAACGGGGCATCGACGAGTCTTCTTCCGCAGGAAGTTCACCGAGGGGTGACTTAATCCGCAAAACGCGCCGACCGGCCGAAAGTGCGCACCTTTCCTCGGGGAACGTACTTCCTACGAACGAGGCATTCCCGGGCTTCGTCGACGACAGCGCGTGCACGATTAAGCGACACGTACATCCGCGAATCGCTGACAAAGACCCTCCGCGTTCGACGAGAGCGCGACATGGAGGAATTTAATCCGGGTCGGTCGTAAGGCTTGCGAGAGGGATTCCTCTCGGCCGAGAGGAAGACTCGTCGCGCCCGGAAGAGCGTTTCGTCGGTTCGGCCCGAATGGCTTCCGCCCGGTCAAGAGTTTACCTCTCCGTCCATCGTTTTTTCCGGAACCAGGAAATCCAATATGGCTCGGTATCGCGCGTCGACGTTCCCGCTCCGCGGGTCTCGTCAAAGTTAAATAAAAGGTTGTCCAAAAAACGCGGCGTGGGAGAGATCGAGAAGCAAGGTTCGACCCGGGGATTCCGAATGATTTTCAAAGTCCACCCCGCGCTCTCCAACGAACGATGGGAATACCCCGTCGCGGAGTATCTCGCAACTCTTACACGAGAACGCCTCGGATCCGTGACTTTACGAGCCATTTCTCGTCTCGTGGCGAAGGAACGGGGTCGAGGGTCGCGGGGGCCCTCGCCTCCCCGAAAGCCCTTCGGTGACGGAAGCTCTTCGACGGTATTTAGCGAGACAACGAACGAGCGCGTCTCGTCCGAGCTGGAAGAAGGAAAGAGAGGACACGGCACCGCGGGAAGGCGATCAATTTTTCGAGGAAGCGGCCTCGCCCCGTTAATTCCCTCTCATTGCCGAGCTTGGAGAACGATTCACGGCGCATCTCAAAGGATCCCTCGAGCGACGCCCTGCAATTAACTCCCAAGAAAACCGACGCGAGCGTTTCCCGCGTTAAGGCGAGAATTTAATTAAAGAACGCGAAAATTCCCCGCAACCCCCAAAACTGGTCCTACTCCTCTGGAGTGTCCGCAAAAATTGTCGTAAAACTACTTGTCCGTTCCGTGCCCGCAAAAGTGGGCGTAACACTTATCATACTTATCATGGGAGGGGGAAGGGGGCAAACAAGTGAACCAGGCCAGTCGGATTCGGTAACAGGAGCTTTTATGAGCAGAATTCGATTCGTCGAGTGGAATTACAAATGGCGAGAAGAAGTCGCTATTCTCCGGACCGTCGTTTTTCCTCCTCCTTGAACGGAAACGAGATATATAACATAAGTTAGAAATTTATTCACACGGTTTCGCTCGCATTAAGTAGTACCCGCCGTATACGCATAAGTGGGGTTACGCGGCCGCGGTCGCGTAGCGTACGCGTCCCGGCACGACCGGTGCGAGTACGCGCGGTATGTACAAGCGTGCGTGTACGGGTGCGGACGCGGTACAGCCTACCGAATCATCCGCGGATCCAATGTTCGACGGAATGCATCTTCGGTGCATCCGCCTGCGAGAATGCACCCAGCCGCGGCCGCATGGGATTCCGCGGCGGAAACGCTCCCTCTCGGGGATTCCGGACGCCGGCCGCCGGATCCGCCCCGATGCGAGGACGTTCCGCAAAATTCGGATCGCGGATACTTAATTACGGTCACCGCCTCGAGATGCACTCCTCGGGGCATCGGCGGATGCATGCCTCGGATATCGCGATTTCGGTATCTGCCGTATGGCGCCTGGAACGCGCGCAACCTTATTTCTCCCTCCGATCGTTTTATCAATAAATAAGGGTATCCTAGGTATTAACGTCGCTTTCGTATAAAACGATAACCGGCGGACTTACTTCCAAACGAGACGTCTAAGGTAAAATAATATAAAAATATATTTCTTTGCTTGGCCGTTAAGGCGGGGTGAAAGCCGCGTCAAAGAGTTCTCGTTTATGAACCTTTCTCCGACCTGGGTGAGCGGTATCAAACTTTACAGCGGGTACATGGAGGCTAGAAGAAAGGTCTTGATCCCCATGAATTCTCAATTTTTTTTAAATCGTTTTAAAGACGTTTTACAATGTTTTGATAAAAAATGAAATTTCTTGGGGGTTGAACCCTTCCTTCCTGCCTTCGTATTCACGGTGCAAATTTCGAAACGATTCGGTACCCCCAGTTTGGAAGAAAGTTTCACGAACGATTAACCCCTCCGGTGCCGCTTTCACCTTCCCTTAAAGTAGATCGAGCAGACCTCGACCTCGACCTCGACGAGAGATCGTCGCGGCGAAATTCCAGCTCGCCGATTCGTCGAGTCGGATCTCGCGAATCCAAAATGGACCAAGAATCGCGTTCCGGGTCTCGACGACTCCGGACGCATTCTTCTTCCGCACGCGTTCCAGGATTCCGCGGAGGATTCGTCGTCGCACTCGCGTCGTGCTCGCGTGCGTGCGGGGTGACGGAGACGGAGAGAGGGGAGAGCGCGCAAGAGCGAGGAGGACAGAACGAGGACAGACAGATAGAGAGAGAGAGAGAGAGAGCGAGAGAGAGAGAGAGAGTCGCGTGCGCGCGCAAGCGCTCTCTTTTTACGGTCGATATATCTTACACGAGGCGTTATTACACGTATTTACAGTATCGTACAACGAGCTACGCTTTTTCGTTTCATATAAAATTACAAAACATCACCGGCCGGGTCCCTCGCCCGGGCGAGCTCGCCGGCGCTGCCGAGTCGCTTCACCCTGGCCGGGACGTCCCGGGACGTCCCGGGATGCGCCAGGACGCGACTCGGCCGCGCCGTTCCGTCCTTAAAGCCCGGCGTATCTCGATTCGTCGCGCGTTTCTATGTACACTCGATTATCCTACACGAGTCGAGGAAGTATTTACAGCGGTTTTCGCGCGGGTCGATATACGCGGCCGAAGAGGGGGCCCGGCCCTTCCGGCGCGGCCGACCGCGCATGCCGGGTGCCGCGCGCGATCCGCGCCGGCGAACTGCCCGATCCGTTCCTCGATCGCGATCGATCGCGGAAACGCGAGCGGACACCTTTACCCGCGGAACGGGCACGAGACCGACGGATTTCGATTTCGGAAAATTTGCCGAAATTCCGATCGCCCGATTCGAAAATCCGCCGGAGGAACGGGGTGAATTATTGGGAAAGAGAATTCCCGAGACTCGATTGGCGGAAGTCCGAGGAATTAATCGATACTATCGAGGTACCGCCCGCGGTATGCGAGAGAGGATGGAATCGGTCTCTCGAAGTGGCGTCGGAATTTTTCACGATAAGGGGGAGTCCGAGGGATCGGGGGAGTTTCGGCAATTCGCGTTATCGATCCGTCGGTAAAGGTGGCCGGTGGCGGTATCGGAGACCGGATGAAACAAGGGCCAGGCATCGGGGCGTCGCGGAAAGGCGGACTCGGCACGCGTCGCGGCGCGGAAACCTCGAAAACGAACGGCAGCCGTTTTCAACGCGGCCAATCGGGGATCCGAGCGCCCGCAATCGGGAATTTCGCGATCGTTCTCGACAACCGCGTGCCGGTTCGCCCATCGATCCGGAGGGGTTAACAGCCGCGACCGTATCGTCGCGGACGGCGAATCGCCCCCCTAGAGCCGCCTCGTTGATTTTCAAAAATAACCCGACCGCTCCTCTGCCTCGATCAACGGAATCGACCCTTGGAAGAACAACGAATTCGTCCCTACACGTAACGAAACGTCGGGGCGGCTCCAGAATCCGGACGTCGGGGCGAAGTCCTCGAGACCGTTTCCAGGGCCAAGGGAAATTCCGGCTAGGAAGGGTCCCGCGGAGACCGGAGCGTTCCGCGCGCCGAGGAGTCCCCCGTCACCCGGAGCGCTCGGGCCGCGATTCCGCATTCGGTCGGTCCGGATTCCCCTGGGGGTCCCGGCAGCGGCTACACGAGGTAGGCCTGGCCGGACGGCGGGGGCTGCGGTTGGTGCTGATGGTGGTGGTGGTGGTGTTGCTGCTGCTGCTGTTGCTGCCTCCAGGCGGAGCGCTCGAGCGTAGAGTAGTCCGAGTCGATGGAGGAGTATATGTGCTCGGAGAGGGGCCTCCTGGCGGCGCCGAGTCCGTCCACACAGGCGTCCTGGTAGGCGTGATTTACGGTGAGCCTGGGATTCGGGCCGGGGCTGCCCGCAGGGACCTCTCGCTCCTCGCGGCCGATCTCGCCCCGGACGGGCTCGTGACCGATCGCGCCGGCGCTCGAGTAGGCGGGCGGCGCCTGGGGAAGCTCGTCCTTGAAGAGCGGATGGTGCCCCACGATGTGTCCGTGGACGCGCAGGGTCGGCGAGCCCTTCTCGGACCGACCCTCGAGGGTGTAGGTGTTGACGTTCCGCCTGTAGAGCGAAGAGGGCTTGCAGGCGAGTCCGTCGGCAGGGGGCATGGCGAACCTGAGCCGCTCCCAGAACCTCTTCTCGCCCCACCTGAGTCGGACCGCGGTGCGCAGATAGGGCCTGAGCTCGGGGTCCTCCTCGGCCTCTCGAGCGACCGGGCCGGCCTGGACGATCACCAGCTGGCCCGATCGGCCGCGCAGCGCCTCGTGCACCGCCGCCCTGAACTCGAATCGGGACCACTCGGTCTGCAGGAAGTGTCTCGTCAGGACGATGACGACCCGCCTCGAGGCCTCGGCGGCCTCCAGGACGACGGCCGCGGCCGCGCTCAGGCACGGCAGATCCCGGTGGTGCAAGCAGAGCCGCAGCCCGCCCCCGGCGGGCGCGCCGCCCTCCGCGACTTGCTCCAACTCCGCCACCAGAGATCGCAGGACGAAATCCTCGTCCTTCGGGCTGTAGCATAGGTAGCCGTCGTAGAGGCGCTCCCTCTCGTCCGAGGGAACGGCCTTCGACCAGAGACGGACGCCGTAGCGCGAGTACGCCCAGGTGCGCACCGGCTCCCGGAAGATGAAGGCCAGCACGGTGATCACGAGGACCAGGAGCACCGCCGACAGGGTCGCCGCCAGCATTGGCAGGTAGTCCGAGACCATGATGTTCTCGATGACTCCGCCCTGGGAGAAGTAGTCCGAGCAGGCCGTGTCGTTGACGTTGAGGCGGCGCCGGTAGGTCGGCCTGGCCGCGTTGTCGTAGCACCAGACGTCGTTCGCGTCGACCACCTTGTGCGAGTTGTCCGACACCCAGGAGGTCAGTTCCTGGAGGAACTTGCACCGGCAGGACCAGGGGTTGTTGCCGAGCGACAGCTCTACCAGCCGCGTGTTAAGGGTGACCTGCCAGACGGGGAAGGTGACCAGGTTGTTGCCGTCCAGTCGGAGGATCTCCAAAGAGTGGAGGGGCAGGAGGGTGAGGTTGCCGATGAACCCGATCAGGTTGTTCTGCAGGTAGAGTTCCCTGAGGTGGGACAGGTGCTCGAACTCGAAGCCCTTCAGCTCGTGGATCCGGTTGTCCTCGAGGTGCAGGATCTGCAGGTTGTTCAGGCCGTTGAAGGTGCGGTTCTGGATGGACTCGATGCCGCTCGCGTTCACGTAGAGGACGCGCATGTTCTTCCGCCCGATGAAGACGTGGTTCTGCAGCTCCCTCAGGTCGTTGCCATCCAGGTAGACCTCGGTTGCGTCCATGGGGATGCGTCGGGGGATCTCGGCGCTGCCGAGGCCCGAGCAGTCGACGACGTTGGTGTTCCACGTCTGGTCGTGGTAACACTTGCAGTCCGAGGGGCAGGTCATCTCGCAGTCGCAGGCGTCGAAGTCGCAGCAGTGGCAGAGGGCGAAACAATGGGCCTCGTAGCGACACAGGAACTGCTCCGGCTTGGCCTCCGAGGCCGGAAGCACGGCCGTTCCCCGGGGCCCGGAGACCGTGCAGATCGCGTGGTCGAGATCCATGACCCGGGGATGTTGGCGGAGGCCGCTCATGTTGTTTATCACCGGCAGCCAGTCCATCGAGCAGTTGCAGTTGAAGGGGTTGCCGCCGATGTAGAACTCGGGCGGCGACTTGCCCTCGGGCACGGAGGTCAGCCGCAGAGCCGCCAGCTCCATCGTCTCGATCATGTTGGCGTACATGTCGACGCGCGTCAGGTTCACCTTGCCGGTGAACGTGTTCGGGCGGACAAGACTGATGTAATTGTTGTTGACGAAGAGCAGCTCCACGCTATCGGGCACCGCCAGCGGCGAGAGCTCGGTGATGCGGTTATGGCTCGCGTCCAAAGTCCGGACCTTGAGGTCCCGAATCTCGTAGTAGTTGTCGAGGCTGCCGATAAAGTTCCCGTGGATGTCGAGCCACTTCAGGTTCCCGGGGACGAAGGCATAGTCGAACCACTCGATGTGGTTCTCGGAGAGATTCAGCAGCAGGAGGCTGCCGATTCGCGTGAACACGCCGTTGATGTCCGAGAGGAAGTTTCCGTCCAGCCGAATGGCCTCCAGGCGGACGTTGCGCTCGAAGGCGTCCCTTTCCACGTGCTGGATCTTGTTCCTCGCGAGGTTCAGGATCTGCAGATTGGGCAGGTCCCAGAGCATGCCGCGGGTCAGGTTCCCGATCTCGTTGCCGATCAGTCGGAGCCCGGTCAGCTGATGGAGGTTCTTGAAGGAGCCGTTGCGAAAATCGGTGATCCGGTTCTCCCCGAGGTCGAGGGTCTTGAGGAAGGGCAGGTCCCGGAGGGCCTCGGGCACCGAGGCGAGCTCGTTTCCGCTCAGGTCGAGCTCCTTCAGGTCCGAGCAGTTGCGGAAGGCCAGCGGGTCCACGGTGGCGATCGTGTTGCTGGAGAGGGTCAGCCGGTTCAGGACGAAGAGTCCGTTGACCAGTTGCGGCCCCACCGCGTGGAGCTTGTTCTCCGAGAGCTCGAGGGTGTGCAGGTTGTACAGCGGCAGGAAAGCGTTGCTCTCGATATGGGAGATCGAGTTGTTGCGCAGGTCGAGGATCTGCAGGAAGAAGAGGTCCTTGAACATCCTGGCGTCGATGCGCGTCAGCGAGTTGTACGAGAGGTCCAGGACGATCAGCCGGATGAGCCCGAGGAAGGTGGTCTCGTCGACGCGATCGCTGCCGAACCGGTTGCCGGCCAGGTTGAGGACGAGCAGCTGCTCGAGCCGGGTAAAAGTTCCGCGCGGCAGCTCGCGCAGCTCGTTGTACTCCAGGTGGATCTCCCGAAGGTCGCGCGTGCTGGCAAAAAGGGCCTCCGGGAGCCCGACCAAGGAGTTGTGGCTGACGTTGAAGATCCGCAGGCTGGTCAGCCCGGTGAGCGCGTCGGTCGCGATCTCGGATATCGAGTTGTGCTGGAGGTAAAGGTCCTGCAGCTGGCGCAGCCCCGACAGAGGGCTGTCCTCGGGCAGGCCGCGGATCTCGTTGCGCGAGAGGTCCAGGACGCGCAGATCCGCGTGGCAGGGGGCGCGCGAGGTACGCACGTCCGCCAGCCCGACCTCCGAGAGCTCCCGCAGCCGGTTGTCGGTCAGGTTGAGCACCTGCAGGTTGGCGAGCTCGCACAGCGCCTCGGCCGGCAGGAGGCGCAGATTGCTCTCGACGATCTCGAGGGTCTGGAGCTCCCGCAGCCCGGCCAGGGCGCGGGGGTCGAGCTCCAGGGTGCGCCCGACGCCCCAGCGGGCGTTCAGCGTCCTCAGGGTGAGCCGCTTGAGCTCGACGAGCGGCCGGAACGCATCGGCCGGCAGACGCGGCAGCTTGCAGCCCTCCAGCTGCAGCTCGTGCACTCCGGCCACCCGCTGCCAGGTCTCGCCCTCGACGGCGCTCTCGAAGGGCCGCACGTCCTCGCAGTCCACCCGCAGGCGCAGGGCGGCCTCCACGGAGCTCGGCAGCTCCGCGACCGCGGCCGAGTCCAGGGAACGCAGGGCGCACCGCACGGATCGCGTCTCGTTACCCTCGGCCGACCACCACCGGCACGGCGAGGCCCGGCCGGGCGGCGCCGCCGCGACCGCGACGCCCACCGCCGTCGCCAGCCACACCAACGCGCCGCACGTCGCCACCGCCATGCTCGACGGCCCCCGGCGCTACTTACGAGCAGTCCCCGCCGACGAGCGGCATCACGACCCGCAGCGGAACCCCATCGCCGCCCCTGATCGCCCTCTCGAGGCCGCGTCCCGACGCCTCGCTCCCTTTCCGGCCCCGCTTGCGCGCGCGACGCGCGCTCCGTTTCCCTTTCGCGCGCTCGTTTCTCCCTCTCCCGGTCCCCTTCTCGCCCCTGCGAAGGACTCTGCACTCAGTCCGTTTCTCCGTCCCGACGTCGAGCCATCCGCACCGGCCGGGTGCTCCACTCACACTGAGCCCGCGGCCGAGGCGCGTCCGGCGCTTTACGTTGCGGGAGCGGCGCGCCTGCGCACTCGGCGCCCCGAGCCACCGCGCAACCCGCAGCCCGCACCTGGCCTGGTGGTGGGGGACCGGCTCCCTTCGGAACAACGACCTATTCATTCCTCGCTCGTCATCGCACCGGCGATGGACCCGGCCGGGACACCTCGAGCTCAGGTAAAATCGGAAAGATATGGGCCCGCTCCCCTCTGTTCTCCCGCCGGCCAAAAACGATCCAAGGATCGAGGATTCCGTCCCCGAGGTTTTTGCCCCGCTGCCTTGCCTTGGCTTCGAGCCTCCGGATCGAGCGCGTTAATTTTTAATGGCGGTACACCACCGCGGCACGTGATGTAGGTATCGCGGTTAAAGCACGGATCGATCCGCGCCGTCTAATTGCTCTCTTTTCCGTCTCGACGTTTACCGTGCCGAGAGTCCGCAAGTGGCATCGATCCGACGCCGAGACCGACCGAGCGAGATCGCTTCTCCCGTCACGAGCGTTTGTCCAACATTTTGTTAACGCGTCCCGTGCCACGTGACCACCGATAATATTCGTTATCTTCGGCTGGAACGCGTCTCGGCATGGAACGTGTTAAAAAAAAAAAGAAACCGGGCGTAGACAAAATTTTAGGGAAAGAAAAGATGGCCCGTCGACCGGGCAACTAATAAAAGCGTCGAGGTAAGAGGTCGGCGGGGAATTATTAATATTTGCTCGATTTGAGTACAAACGGATAATGACTCGCTAACCTCTGTCAGCGAGAGGAGATTCCCGAGAAATTCGCTGCGTTTCCGCTGCGCCCGCAGCGCGGAATCGGATGTATCCTTTGCGTCGCTCAAAGAGGACCCATCGGTGTGACGCATCTCGATGGTTCCAACGATAATTGTATTCGCGTCGATTTCTCGTCGGTAGAAGAAGCAGAAGTAAGAGACCGAGTTCGGAGACTTCGTCAGGGATGTCTTTTTCGAGACCGAATACCGAGCCACCCAAAGGGAGCCCGTGAAGGATTAGGTGCCATGACATAGGAGCCAGAAAAGTGGCGCTTAATTCGCGGGTTGCTCGCGTTGTTTGCCCGCTAGTTAGGCCAGCCATAAGTGGCACGTATACGTGTCGTTCGATAATTTACGGTTTAATTATAACCGGCTCGTCAAAATTCGATCTGGGTATATAGCAACGATCAACGAAATTTGAATACGTTTGAGGTGGAATTTGAGCTTGGGTTTTATCACCGCAACGATAATTTCGGAGCACACGCACAAATATGTAAATTGGATCTAACCCGCCATACTAATTAAGTTTGGATGTGACGAGCGAAAGTTTTCCCGGGATCGCTTTAATTGTTTACGTCGCCGATAAAAGCGACCGCCCCGACCGGGGCCACTCCGGTTGGCAATAAATATTCAGCGACCCTCGGACGAATGAACTGGCTGCTCCGAAAAAGAATGCCGCATGAAAACTCTCGTCGAGCGAACGTTTCCCAAGTAATTCGAGACCGATCGAGCCGCCTGCGAATGACGCCGCTCGATACGGATTCGTGTGCTTCCGCCCCTCCCTTCCTGTATCGCTTGCAATATTTAATGCGATTCGTTAATTGAACGAGGAATATTGACATCGCTTCCGATTCACTTCCTGAACGCGCGAATGCACGGAGAACAGGCGTGAAAACGTTATGTTAATTTTGTAACCGTTTTACCCGAAAACGAGCGTCAAATTGGACGCTTCGTCGTTTCGACTTCCGAGGCGGGTGCACTCTGCAGGGACGGTAATTAGAGTTTCTTTTTCTTTTTCGTCGCAGACGTCCAGTTTTCTCCAGGGGTTTTAATTTCCGTAATCCGCCGGAGAAAGGCCGCAGGGGCAGGTTCTCCTGTATCGGAGATCGGGGAAATCAATTGACGTCTCGACGAGCCCCGCGGCGTGTCATCGTGACCCAGTGGTTGCTTTCCTTTTGATTATCGATTCGCTTATCCCGGTCCGATTATCTATTCGGATATAAAATTTACATTCGAAAGGAAGAGCGGAGCGCCATTGTCCTTACCCCCGGCTAGATGACTCACCGCGCGAGGGGTACTTTCCGAAAATAGAAGATCGATGTCCGTACATCGGTATTGGTATCGCATCTCTGCTCGAGGGTCGCGGAACTAAAGACAACTTTATTCTCAACTAGGGGACAAATAACTTTTCTAGGGGACCCTTCGCGCGCTTTGTCCGGGTCCTTTTACGCGAACCGACGCAGCCGATCTCGACGCTCCGAACGTCGTCGTCGTTGCCGACGTTTCCGCCCGGGAATCCTAAACGACAATTAAGAAAATACCAAAGAAAAAAAATCAGCATACTTAATCTTCTCATTTCCCACGAAACGATTCACTCGTGAGAAATTATTCTTTAATAAAATCGAATCGACGTTCCGGTAATCAGCCAAAAAGATCGATCGATCGCGCTTTCAGAAGCGCCATCCCGGAGATATTAATACCCAGGAAGCAATCGTCGCGAATTCGAGCGGATGGGAGATTATTCCACTTAAGGGACACGATTCGCGATCGCATGCTCTTCGACACGAATAATGAAACTTTCCCAATTATATCCCTCGATTCGAAAACGGTTCGTCGGGGCTCGCGTACGTTTCATGCTCGGCCCATGAAAGGCAAAACCATTTTCAAACCGCTAATAGGCTTGCTTCGCCAACTTTTCTGCGTCAAAGCTGCGAGGTTTCGCGTTTCCGCGAGCCAGCCAAAACCAACGTTTTTATCCGCTTTTTCCTTTTTTTTCCAAGTCCCCCGCGGGTAAATCGCGGCGTGACATTTCCGGTTGGTAGGGCATAATTATTCGAATACGGCGAAAAACGCGTTAGCGTCTTCGGATGCATACGTCTCTTGATGCCGCGATCGAGCTCGAGCGGAATTATGTGCGGATTTTTGTCGACCTCGCGAAATACAGTTAGGAGTCTCGGGAACCGAGTCGAGAGATCTTCGACGTCGATGCTTTCCGGGTGTAGGACACGGGACGATTGTTTTTCGATTTCTTGCATCGAGCCGGATCTGCCGCGGTTCTCTCGACGACGTGCAGCGAAATTGATCGCGGTGCATGACTCGGTAATTCACGGTCCGCGAGAGACCGTGTTAAATGGAATACGTTTTCGGGGGGGTTGAAGGTGAAAATTTATCGCGCGGAATCGGGAAAGTTCTTACCTCTTTTTGCGTAAAAATCGCCTCGCGGTCCGCCGCAAAGTGAATCCCCGAACGAGGTGGCTGCGCCGATGCGCCGATATCGTGCGTGTAAATCTCTCCCGGCGTGGAAATCGATGGCTCCGAGTTTTCCTTTTGCCTAAGGAGAAATTGCGAAAAGGTAAATCAGATTAAAATATTGTTTCCGGAGAGTGGAGAGGCCGCTTTCTCGCGGTTCACCGCAGGGCACTTCCCCGTCTAGGGTGTCCGTAACTATACTCCGATATCGTCCGCGTACGTTTTCCTCGGCAGGAGGTAAAAATCAATATGCCCGAGACCGTGGCGACCGTACGTTAAGCCGATACATTTTTCTTGCAGCAGGTGGGTAAACATTAATTTCGCCAGGGGATTAACTTTTTCCCGAAGAGATTGCACTTTGTCGCGCTATTTACGGAGGGCGGCCGAGTCACCTCGGGGTTTACCGCAAAGTGGATCCCCGAACGAGATGACCGACATCGCGCGGACGGAAATCGCGATCCGTAAGGGGTGACGATCGTCAAATCGTTTTTCGGGGCCACGATTCGGTTTCCCATCGCGCGTCCGCGGTGAAACGTAAAAGGCGATCGTGCCGCGGGACCCATTTCAGCGAAAAACGAAAATCTTCGAATCACCCCCTCGAACCAGCGTCCGAAAGACGTCAACAAGGGGGAGGGTACGAGTCAATGAATTTCTTTCCCGTTCCCTTTAAAAGCATCAGGCCACTTCGTTCGTACATCTCCTACTCCGTTAGGACGCGAAGATCGATGCAGCTAGGCGACACTTATTTTTTTTCAAGGGAGCAACTCGACTGCATCCACCGCCGGGAGTTCCAGTGCAGGCCTCGGTCATTAATATTTACAGTGTTCCAGTTACAAGGGCAAAGACAAAGGCTGGAGGGCTCTCGTGGATACACTTGCCCTTAGCCTTGCGCTCTTTCATCGTAGCCAATTAGAGCCACCGCTAAACCTTTTCATGGCTTTTCCGATACGGTAACTGGCTTAAGAACTAAAGCGAGGGCGACGCGAGCGCGCGTTTCCGCTGTTATGTCGGAAATCTGAATCCCTCGAAAGGGAGAAACGAGAGAATCTCTCCTTTAATGAAATACGTCCCGCCCGGGATGGTTTCGAAAAATCCGACGTTTACGCGAGCCCGGATACATCCGCGCCCAGAGACGTCGCCGCGCGTGGAAAGGATCTACCGGAGCATTGGCAACTGTACGGGGCAAAAATGGTAGAAGAAGGGAAAATCGAAGCGGCTGATCCTTTCTCCCCCTGTAGCGATCGGTGATGCACTTTACGTTTCCCGAGGCGTTATCAATTTAGCGTAATGGATCGCGATGCGAGCGAGTTCTTTCGCGTTCGATGGAGTCCGGCGTGGACATCGCCGTGCGTAATTTCTCGGGCCGTTTCACCCTTTCTTTTCCTTTAGCAATTAAGATGACTCGGCGGCGTCCCTAAGGCCGTCGAGGAGGGTAAGACAAGAGGAAACGCGGACAAAGGGCGTCCACGTGAATTGGAACGCGGCGATAAAACTAGTCATGCATTTTAAACAGCCCGCCATGCCGCATCGGCTGCCGAGGAGTCGTAGCCGCCTCCGGACGGTTTCCCACGAATTTCTTCCCTGACCGCTCTTCGATAATAAACACGAGCACCTCCTTCCGAGGAAAGACCGACGACCCCCGGCTTACCCGTGCTCGGAAGAGCGGGCCATAGATTTTACGTATTTTCATTTTCCAGGAGGAAATGCGCTCTACCGATAAACCGAACTGCCGGCGGCGATTAACCGAAACGAAACGAAATGATGCCGCCGTCCGATGCCAAGTTTACTCCATTCAATTTGGAAACGCAGTTAGCAGGCGCTGTATCGGCAGAAAATTGGTTATATCCGACAGGGGCGTTTTCCCAGGGTACCGGCGGCGGATCAGGGAAGAAGCCGGCCGCTAATTCGCGGACGCCGGGCATGTCGCGAACGCGATGATTGGGGCAGAGCTTACTTGACGTTATCCGGGACCACCGAGAGGACGGTGGGAGTTCCGAATGCCTACGGGAGGTTTCCGGTTGCGGACATTGTAACCCTCTTTCCCAGCGTCGTGGTTCTCTCTGAAACAGGGATGCGGTCGAATGTCAAACTGCGAGCCTAAAGCCGCAGATGAGGGTACCCTCATCTCGGCTTGGGTCCCTGCACGACGCTCCAAGTAATTGGAAACTCCTCCGATTGTGAGCTCGCGTCGCCCTGTAACTTTAATATCACACCGCGCGCAATCGTCGCCGAGATTACGCGGTTTAAACGAACCCGCGTTAACCCGAGACAAAGTCGGAGGCCCCAAAAGTGGAAAACTGGGACCCTGGTTGGTTCTCCAGACCCGAGGTGGATTATTACGCCGCAACCGTCAGGACGCGGCATTATAATCCTGAGTAAATTTGGATAGTAAATTTCGGCAATTTGCATTGTTTGGCCTAAGATTGCGGCGTCTCGCTGCGAACCAACAATTCGGCCTCTCCTGGAAAGTTACGAGTATGTACATACGTGTAAGCACTGGTTAGGGGGCGCCACGGGCCGGGTGCTGCCCCCTGGGAGATCCGCGAGTTTACCTCTGGATAATTTCAGAATTTTACGAAACTTGATCTCGAGCGAAGAGTTACCGTCGGAGGGTCGCGGAAAATTAATGGAATTAATTGTCTTTGAACTTTGCACCTCCTCTTGTAGATGGCAGGACGTCGAGTTTCTCGTCGGCCGGTCGAGGGATTGAGTTCAGGAATCGAGGTCTTAGGTGAATTTCCCGCCGCGAGGTGGTGATCGGATCGAAAGACCGCGTCCGACCGGTGGCGCCATCTCGCACCCCGAGAGCCAACCTGGGGCCGCAAACTCGGAGGTAAGAAGAGTAGGGTCGCCAGAGCCGCGAAATCTCGGTTCAATAACGTAACGCTACCGATAGTAATCAACGGACGGCGTAAAAAAAAAAAAAACGCGGAAACGTTGCGTTATCGATTTTCCCCGAATGGATCACGGGTTTGTCCATTTATTGCCAGGACTTATATCGATAGATACTAGACAATAGAAATAAAAAAATTCAAAGCATTGCGCAATAAGCCTACCGAAGCCTATCGCATTCGATTGATCGGAACCGACGGGTATTACAGAAAAATCCTCACCGGCATTGGTATAGATCGAACTTCCGGAAACCGGTATTACGATTAAAATTGAATAATCCGGTCGAGGTGGTAGATATCCGAGTCAAGGTCCGAGAAAATTCTCGAGGCACCTCCTTCTCGTTAACTCGCATTGTCGGGTCGAATCCTTTCACTCACCCGGCTAAAGACAAGAGACACGCGATTCGGGCGGTCGTGCTCGAATGCGATTTCTTTTACGCAGACTTTGCTCCCCGCTCCCGATAAGGTCGACTTACGCATCTCACGTGATACGCACGGCGCAAACCGCGGGAACGTTCGCGCAACGGCTGTCGACTCGCCGCACCGGAAAGAGCGGAGATAAAAGGGATATTTTCTCGCGAGAGACGACGATCCTCGAATTCCTCGACCTTAACCCCCTTTCCGCGAAACTTCCCCGAAACCGCTCGGTTTCCGGTGGGTACACGAGCTTGACATTCGACCCTTTTAGATTTGGGTTCCTGCCACGAGATCTTGCTCGATCGAGAGCTCGCTCCACCGTCGAGAAGACGCGCGGCGAGTCGCGCCGCGACGCGCCGACAGTCGGAGGCCGACGAGCGTCGCGTGCGCACCTGTCGCCCGCCCTCGGCGGACCCAAGAGCGTCGCGACGTTCCGCCCCGTAAATCGGCCCACGTCCGCCGCTGCGCGCCGACGTCCCGGCGGCTTATAAATAAAAGTAAAACTAGCTATTAACATTGCGTCTCCGAAAGTGAAATCGAGCGTGGATTCGAGAAAGGGGTGCTCGGGGGGAAATGGGGCGCATTAAATCGAGCGTGACAACGGAGTCGAACGCCGAGATCGGCTCGCTCTAATTTCGGAAATCCTCGCAAAAGAGCGACGGGATTTTGGAGAATCGCGGGGGCCGAAGACTCGGGGAAAAAATTTTAATTACATCGAAGTGCGCCGGAAATCGCGGGGAACGCGAGGGATGCATCGAGGGATGTTCGAGTCGTCGTCGTTGATTTTGGGAAACCTTTGATGTAGCTATGGGAATGGTGTAGACGACTTTTGAACGTCCTTGCCTTATTTGGGTAATGGTATAATGCAATATTTGAAACGGTCTTATCCCAAGATCTAGGGGAAACGATCGATTTCGTACGTGGCGTACTCGATAGGTCTTTGCAAGAATCGCCATCACGAGGATGGAGCGCTCATATCCTTTCACTTTCTTGCGAAACTGGGAATCTCGGGAGAGATCAATTTATTTGCATCGGAGATTTATCTCATAGCCGTGGGTCATCCGTCTCCGCGCTCTTAGCGCACCTTCCGGACTAGAATCTTGGACGCACTTTTATTGGCGAGAGACGGACGCGGGGGTGTACGGTTTACAATATGGCCGCGAGTCCACTTTCGAGTGCATGGAAATATTTACACGAAAATCCAGCTCGAACGCGTCGTCGAGGTGTCGACACCCGAGTGGCCGATATCCGGGAGTGTTTTGCAACGGGCTTTCTTTTTGGCGAGACCCGCCGCTAATCGTCGATTTCGAACGCTCGGGATTTGCACTTAAAATACATTTAACCCGAAGGCTCGCGACCACGACCAAAAGAGCTGCCTTTGCAAAAGCGATCACTTGCCAATAGGGAAACAAGGTCTAGTTAGGTAGACGTGGTCCTTCGAAGAACTTGGAAGTTGCACCTCCAAACTGTATTCGGCTTGCTCGCAGTTCGAGGATAAATATTTCCACCATTGCGAAGAAGTCGAGTATTCGCAAATTTATTTTTTTCAAATATTCATAAATTTCCTCGGGAATTGATTTATAAAAATTACATTACACATTCAATTAATTTCAATACTTAGACGCCCTCGTGGGGATGATTCATGTCCGCGTACTTGCGGTAACTAACAAATGCAAACTCTGATACGCTCGACTTTGGCGACTGGCCGCTATTAATAGTGGGCTTGTCAAAAGGCAGGAGAGCTTGCTCGCTACGATACCGAGCATACCTTTGCATAAGTAGCCCACCGGAGAGACACGGATAACCCTCTCGTCAACGGAACGCCGCGAAGTTACTTGTACGCGGCGAGCTTTTATTAGCGAAGACGTGCCACGTTGTCGAAGCGCTGGACTTTTCGAAATTTCGCACCGACGAGAGGCAAGTACGAATTCAAGCTAGATTCCGAGGTCGGAAGGGTCTCAAAGCGTAATTGCAGCGTTCTTTGGACGAACACCACGCGTGCTCGATTACAGGAACGCTGGAGCCTCTTATAATTAAAAAGAAATTGAATAGCGCCTCGAAGAGCCGTCACTCGATCTAAAGAAAATCCACTACTCCTATTAATTAAAATCCCGAGAAAGCCTAACAATTTTTCATCATTTTTTATTTTGTGGGTGAAAATTCTGAAATTACCCGTGTATCGGCATCGACGCTGGGATGGATTTCTCTTCCGTTATTTGACTTTAAGGAGCATTTTACACCCTCGTAAATTCGCCCAATGGCGTTCCGAAAACTCAAGTGTGTCGGTTCGACCGATTCCTCGATCAACCTCGATAATCCGGTAGCCACGTAAATCCGTCAGGGTGCATCTCGTGTCCCAGGTTATTAACACGAGGCGCGATATTTTGCCGAGCGAGTGGAAACCCCGTGTCCACGTCACTAGGAGAAACGGTAAATTTATTCTAAAAATATTAATTCGATTCACCCGGAGTTATGCAGATCGAGAGACTGAATTATTGCCCCGTGCGGCGCGGCCTGCAGGTGGGGTAGGTCCCTCCTGCTCGTGAATTCAATAAGTTTAACACATTACGAGGGTTCATAAACTCGTCTAAAGTGACGTTCAGAAGACGCCTGAGTGACGGTCCGACCGATTGCTCAATCATCCGAAAAATAACTTCTAGTTATCTAACGTAAACGAAATCTTCCTCTACGAATCCAGGTTAGACGAATCCGAGTTGGATGAATTTTTTCATTTTGATTTTACTAAAATTCCTAAATTGTATTTTGCATCTGGGATTTTAGACGGATCTAGTACCGTCGAGAGGCCGGTGATTGCCGATCTTTTGTGGTCCGGGAAACTAGCGTAATATGCATTTTGCCAGACGGTGTTACTTCGGAAGGCGCGGTCTATATTTACCAATGTCGCTGCATACTGGCGCGATTCCCGAGACAAGTATTATTTACGGAGTGTGCGAAAAAACACATTTGCCCCCAGCGGCTAGTGACATCTGGCTACAACTCGAAAATGCACCTCACAGGTCTGACGACCCTCCCTCGCAAAGTTACCTTCTCGCAATGCCGAAAAGAGATACCTCGGATTACGAGGAGGAATCTAATTTTAATTTTTTCCGATTATGGACGTCGGATATCTATTTTTATTTTTAATAGAACCGTACAGCCTACTAGGACCAATATTTCAGAAAGACTTTTTGACAAAATGTTTCCAAGCAATCCTGGGCCTAGGATTATCCGGTCCGAACCAATGTGCACTTTTCAACCTCGCACTATTTCTGGCAAATCATGCGGTCATTCTCGCCGTGCGCAAACACCGATTGAAGTGCCTATTAATGATTCGGTGACCCAAGGATTTGTCTTCCTTTTTTATCCGGAATAAATCTGGGAAGTGCGGATTTAGCTCGGAGGACAATCCCACGTGGTCAGAATTTAGACGCGTATTTATATCGGGAGAAGAAAGCTTTCGAGTGAAATTGCAAGGCCGATTCTCGCCGGATCGGATATTTTTTTTTTTTTTCTTGGATTCCTAAACGCGGAAGATACCCAAGGAAACGGGAAGGAATCGCGTGCACTCGACCCCTACACCTCGTAGACCGAAACGGTTTCGCCAATAAATACCGTGACATAGCCCAGATAGCTGGCGCGTGATCGACGAGAGATGTTCGGCTTTATCCATTGTCGGTCAATAAACGATCGAAAATAACCGACGCGATGTTGCAGAAGGGCAGTGCACCACTCGAGGAAACTCGCCCCGAGGAAAGAAGGCGCACCTTCGAGCCACTTTATGTCGAGATGGCGAGAAAGATGGATGTCAAAATCGTCGACGATGGTCCTGCCCTCGACGGAGATGCATGACCCTGCTCGAGCCGCATCTCACGACCCTGGTTAAGGACCTCCCGGAAGGATGACGGTGTCCTACCAGTACCAGGTCGCCAGCTCCACGAGTGGAGGCTTCACCAGGCTCCTGTTTATGTGGCGCGGGTCCCTGTATAAATTGATATACAGGGAACTAGTGCTCTTCCTCTTCCTCTTTGGAACCCTCTCGGCTGTCTACCGATACGTGTTGACGGTCCCGCAAAAGAGGTTCGTTCTCCAAAATTCCCCCTAAAGGCTCGCACACATCGCAGCGCATCGCAATATTCCGTCTATAATATGCGATAGTCCATAAAAATGTATGAAGTCGATGTCGGATTTTTGCAATGCGATGCACCTCGGTATAATGTGTGCGAGCCTTAAAAAAAATGGAAAAAAAATTCGTAAAATGATTTTCTTACACGTCGATGCTTATAAAAGGAGAGCTAGGAATCAGTTCTTTCGGAATGGAAAGACTCTATTACAGGCCATTCCGTATGACGACGAAACCAAGTTCCCCTTGATTACAGGGCGTTCGAGCAGATCGTCGTCTACTGCGACACGTTCATCAATCTGATCCCACTGAGCTTCGTCCTGGGATTCTACGTGTCCTACGTGGCGAACCGATGGTGGCAACAGTACACTGCCATACCTTGGCCCGACAAGTAATTTCGTATCATTAATACGTTCTCTTCGGGGTTCGAGCAAGGGTTCCTCGATCTCTCGTCTCGGAAGACGCATCGATGACCGGTCGTTCGACTACTCCTGGCGATCAGCTTCGAAACTATTTTTAAGCCGAATCGAGACCATGGATGCGACTTATAGAGGAAATTAACGAGTGCAATCAAATTTCCATAGTGGACAAGGGATGCCCTAGAATCCGAAAGTTTGCTCCAAATTTAAAATCTGAAATAACCCGAGCCTCCTCCAATACGAATCTTTTAAATTCAAGGGTGATGCATTCGGTGGCCCTTTACGTCACCGGGGACGACGAGTACGGGCGGATGCTGCGCAGAGGCCTGATGAGGTATCTGAACTTATCCCTGATCCTCGTTTTGCGGTCCATCAGTTCGGCCGTGAAGAGGCGTTTCCCGACCCTAGATCATGTCGTCGACTCCGGTATTTTTCTTTTCTCCTTGATTATATTTTTCCGCGCAACAGGCGAGGGCGTTTCTATATTCACGTCGGTTCTTTAGGTTTCATGACTTCCCTGGAGCTGGAGCTGTTCCAGTCCGTCCCCAGCTCGGAGTTCAACACCTACTGGATACCCTGCACCTGGTTCATCAACCTTCTGAAGGAAGCTCGTCGCAGTCACAGACTTCCCGATGCCCAGGGCCTGAAAATAATCATGGAGGTCAGCTACAATGCGAACCATCGATCATCCTTGCTCCTTGGGGCTATTCGTAGAAAGAAATATTCCAACTTCAGGATAATTTTTATCGTGATCAAGGATATCGCCAGAACCTCCTGATTTACGGCAACTCGGGCTTCCTCCAGCTCGACCAGCTTTGTTAGTTTTCTTGGAAACTTGGGCAAAATGTGTGTCTTCGTCCACCCATTGAGGGTTCACTTCGCAACAGCGATACGCACGTTCTTACCGGCTCGTACCATTGTCCTCGGCATGCCCGCGTGTCCGTGTTAGGAGAAGAAGACGAAACGCCGTGATTAGGTGGTGCAATCGCGTTTTTCTAATTTTACGACTCCCGAAGTCGTGCCCGAGCCGAACCATCGCGAGGGGACACGCGCGACATATTAAGGAACGTCTTTGCAGAATTTGCGCAGCCATTCTTCTTCTGAAAAGAAGGCTGAAGTGTTTACGAGCCGCGGTGGACGAGCACTTTGCGCTAGTACCAAGCAGTACTCTGGGCTAATTATTGCTTCGCAGAGCCAACAGCTGACACCCGTGATCAATAACCAATTTAATTTCGCTATGGTCAACTAACGTGTCACCCTCGTTGCCGCTCGGAGACGCGGCCTTTGCGGATGAGTTTGCTCTCGGTACACCCATCACCTCAACCCGTGACCCGACCGCCGATTATTCGGCAAAACAAATTTTCCTTCATTTTTCCAGGTTGCCAGAGATTTTCTAACGTTTCCGGGGTATTTGTCTCGCAGGAATTCAACGACTTCCGGTCGAAATGCGGCCTTCTGTGGAGCTACGACTGGGTGTCCATTCCCTTGGTCTACACGCAAGTGGTCACCTTGGCCACGTACAGCTTCTTCGCGATCGCTCTGGTGGGTCGCCAGTACATCGAGGGTGCCAAGAAACCCTTTCAGATGCAGGCCGACATCTATCTCCCCCTCTTCACGATCCTGCAGTTTTTCTTCTTCATGGGTCTGCTGAAGGTAATCGTTCGAGGAACGTTCTCCAGGAGTCGGCGAGTATATGGCGAATCGGAGCCTTGACGTTTTAGCGATCGTTTCAGCGAACACCTATCGTTGATATACGTCCCCCGATGCCATTGTTTTATTAACGAAGGCAGCCTTCTAGATAGTCACACAAGAGACCGCATTCCATTGTGTGCTTTAACCGAGAATCTTTATAGGTCGCGGAGCAGTTAATCAATCCTTTTGGCGACGACGACGAGGACTTCGAATTGAATTGGCTGATAGATCGGCACACCAAGGTAAGGCGTCCGAAAGGCGACATCCCGAATCTTTGATATGCAAATCCACGTCCTGTCTCATCCAAGTCCCCTAATCGAGCGCATTGTTCGCGGTCCGACAGGTGTCGTATCTTGGCGTGGACACGTTAATGAATCGATGTCCACCTCTTGTCAAGGACATATATTACGATTCCGAGAACCTCATTCTACCGTACACCACGGCGGCCGCGGCCTACAAGAAAAAGACCTACCGCGGAAGCGTGGCCAACATGACGTAAGTCTCATTTAAAAAAATTGCAGAGCACTCGAGCCCAGTAATAAATCTCCGTTTTAATTGCTCCTCGCAGAGTACCGGAAGAGAAGCAAACGATGTTCCTGCCCGATATCGTGGAGGAGGAGGAAGAGGACACCAAAGCCACTCCAACGCCCAGGACCTCCACCGCGAGTTTGGCGACGCCGGCGAACGACAGCCCGGTGGACAACAGGCGGTAAAATCTTGGCTATCGCCTCCGATCGGCCAACGCGAGCGACCTGCATCCGGAACGTTATTAAGTTAAACTCGTTTGTTCCAGCCAGATCAGCGGGTCCCCTCCAGCTACTCCGAAGATGGCTCGAAACTGCCCTGAAACAGTTATCCAGTTTGACGTCCGAGAAGCTGCCCCAGAAGCCGAACACCACGAGCGCCGAACTATAGTCGACGCCATGAAGATATTCTCCAAGTCGAAGGGCTCGACTCCGCGACTGGAGTACAGCAGGAAACCCTTCATAGCGTTGGCCAAGCTGCAGAATACGAGCCTTCAACCTTGGCCCAGTGCGACGAACCTGACCCACTTCGAGAAGGAGGAGAGCTCGAAAACGACACCCTCGTCATCCGGGGCGGGGAAATCGGACCGAGAGTCCGGCCTCCGAAGGAGGAGCTCCCTGAAGAAGCAGAGCTTTTCGGGGCCGGAGGAAGCAGCCTCCAAGCCGCCTCCAAGCGCAGCAGCTTCTCAGGGTGTCGTCAACTCCGGGTTTTCTCAGGATTATCTGACTCTGCCCGAACGGGTCTCCTGCCAATGCAAAATCGCTGACTCGAACGACAACATCCATTCCGACCTGTGCCAGTACCAGTGTCTGCATAAGACCATTTGCCAACACGTCGGGAGCCGTGGACCCGTTCGAGGGTCCACCAGGTCGAAGCCGAGCAGTCCCAGGTACCTCATGAAGAGGCAGAGTTCCCTGGAAAGCGGCAGCAAGAAGAAAGGCGTCAGATGGAAATCCGGGTTGGTCGGAAGAGACGGGAAACTCAGGAGGAGAACAGTCGACAGCGTCCCGACGGCTGAAAAAATGATCGTTCAGACTAAGAGCTCGCCAGAGCTCAGTACTTTCGACAATGACGAGTTCGTCGAAGACGCGGACTCTTTGGACCCCTCGAAAAGGGTCGACAGTGAAACGACTATTTCTTCCAGTGAGGTGCAGGAGTGTTCTAGGGTTTAGGCGGGATTTGGTATTAATGCAGGTTGATTTGTGATCATTGATCGTGGATGGTGGAGAACTCAGTAATTTTTCCTTTCTTGACGGAGGAACTGTTAATAACGATTCCTGCCAACGTGTCTTCCAAGGGTGCCTTCGGTGATTGGGTGCACTGAGGTTTGCATCGCCCGTAAATTCGTCAACGATTGTAGACAAGTTAGCCATTAAGCACTTTTTTCGATTCATTGCGGATGATAGACCTTTGGTTAAGCATAGAATAAGCTATTTATTATATTATACTATGTAATATTTAATCCACAAAGATTGGGGGTCACATGACGTATTTTTTCAAAAAGAAAAAAAATGTAGTTACGATTGGGTGAAGGCACCGATGCAACGGACTCTACAATTAAGCTAGAGAATTGACATTATGTGATTTTGATGGAACCGATTTGTCGGAATAATATACCTGGCAAATTCCCATACCTGCCACTGAAAATTGTGAACACGTGGATGTTAGATTAAAGTATTTTGTTCCTTCATGGAAATTTCTCAATGTGTTGTGCGTCTTTATCGACCGTACTGACCGCTTGTAGAAACCTGTAGTTGTAGGTCCTCGCGATCGGTACATTACCTACTGCTCAGTCAGTCAGGGGAACTCTTCTATCGAAATGGCGCTCGTAAATTTAGAATACGTATCGGCATGTCATTTGCTTTCTACATAAAATGCTTCCTATGGATAATTTGTGCCATATGAAAGACTAAATACAGGTCGACGCGAGTTCGAATATTAAACGGTGTATTTAGAGTTTTTTATGTTACGGAAGACCACTGTCGTGACTTTGCATCATCTAACGTAAACTCCTTGAGTCGTATCGAAAGAAATTAGTACTTTCTGTTATTGTACCTGAGTGAAATCTGAAATTATATATCGAAATGAATAGAATAAATTGCCGTTGACTGCAAACTGAAGTAAATTTTATAATTTCGCAAATACAGACATATTTGCCCTCTTCTTACGATCTCAGTTGCAAATTGATTAATTACGATTTTGATAGCGAACCATTAATTCTCTCTGAAAATAAAATGAATCTGATTTGCGTTATATGCAGCGAGCTGCTTACGCCATCGGATGAAGCATTTTCTACACCTTGTGGTCATGTGTTTCATCTTCCCTGTGTCACACAGTGGTTAGAAAGGTAAAGATTATTATCTCGGAAATTGTTCCTTGACACAATTACTATTATATAATATCGTAGATCCAAAACGTGTCCACAATGCCGAGAAAGAGTAACGCAGAACAAGATCCACCGACTGTACTTTAATTTTTCTAACTCCGAGTCGATTAAGGAGGATCCTTATTTGTTACAAGTAAGACTGGATAATCAAAAATTACAATTATCGCTTAAGAATGAAGACATCAAGATTTTGACACAAGAAAAGAAAACCTTTGAACGTCAAGCAGCTGGTCTTAGAGCTGAAGTCAAAGCGCTGCAAACTGAAATCAACAAACTGACCAATGCAATTCATGCCTTAAAAGAGCAAGTGAAATACTTCAAAAATCTAAGTACCGAAGCAGATAAAGCCAAGCAAGATGCAGCTCGATTTAAGAAGAAGCTCGACGAGATGAGGCAGTATGCGTTTTTGTAGTTAAATGCATGGGCATAACTATTTCTCTATATCAATTAATTTTATTTGTCTTACTTTTAGTCTACAGATAATGCTAAGCGCACCTCCAGAAGACGTGGATGAAATGATTAAAACTACAAAGGATCATAATACTTTGATCACATACATTTCTGTAATGAAGAGGTAACGTTATAATAATTTTATAACAAATTAGTAGTTTGAGAAATTCACGGTTGCAAAATAAAACTTGAAGTCTTATGAAATGTTAAATTGTGCTAGAGAACTGACTGCAGGAGTAATTAAACGGAGAGAATTACGTGATATGGTAAAAAAGCTTCAACAGGATATCACCAAGGTTTCCATCGAACGTAATTTCCTTTCCGAAGAACATTCAAAGAGGACGTATGTAATCCTGATTAAAAATCTCTAAGTAATTATTTCCCTTTTTAATATTTATTCTCTCTCCATTAACATTTCTCAGTAAATTGGAAGAACAGCTAGCACTCCGTGAAAGTGAGAATTTGGCTCTTAAAGCCAAAGTCAAAGAACTTCAAACAGAAAATCAATCCTGTAGCAGCGTACGAACTGCATCAAGTACGGAACAGAGTGCATTCCGAATTCCACAGAGTTCCTTGGAACAAGAGGCGGAGTCACGTCGGAGGTCGAAGTCACCAATTTTGACACAAAATAATGAATCATTAAGCAATTCATCGTGTGTCGAAATCAATGAAAACGTATGAAATGTTAATGAGATCTGAACCAACTTATATTTTTCGTGACGGATTATTAGTAATTTTTGTATATTTTAAATTTTGCAGTTGCCAGTTCCGATATCAAAAAAGATGCCTGAAAAATCTTCTCAGGTTCAAGTTAAAACCCAAGGAATTATGGCATTACAGGAAAGACATATAACTCGCCGAATGGATTTATTAGCAAGGCTAAAACTCGCAGGACCTAAGAATCCAATTGACCGAACCAGTGTTCAGGTGATATAATAGTTTTAAGTAGACAGTTAGTTATTTTAATTTCTGCGTAATATCCATATTTCATATTTTAGCGAAGCACGATTCCTAAAGATATCGTTTACGATGGTTTTGGAGGACACTCGAGAATCGACATTTTCCCCAGTTCCTCAAGAACAAATAATGAAGCGAAAAAAGTAAAAAGGCAGAAAACAAACCTAGATGATAATAGAAAACTTAACGAATTTGTGATTAATTTAACATAAAAAGTTCCTCGATCGTTCTTCAAGCCTGACCTAGAAATTCTGGGTCTACCGATGAATGTGACAAAAGACTACAGTCGTGTCGCGACTAATGCAAGCATTTTGGAAAGTGGTACTTTACGAATTAACTCTGCCTAAAGGATAAACGAAACTTCTTACTTCACGCAGGCTTTTCTATGCATTTATACATATCTATTTCCACAAAAAAAATTAAACATAATTTCTGATGCGTGTAGAACATGTACCTACCAAAACACATTAAATGTAATAAAATAATAAATTATACTTTCTCTACCAAGCGTTATTTTTAAATTCCCGTCTTTGCGGATAGGAACAAGAGAGGGCAGAAACCCCAATTTCGCCGTTTCTCTTTCGTTTCTTTTCGTTTAAAATGTAACCTTCCTGGAAAAATATTCTTAGGTTCGACCAAAATTAGGGAATCGAGAAAATACTCTTCGTCACCTACTCTTCTCTTCTAACGAGGGCAGAATTAATAACTATGCACCAATGGGACATCCCAAAGACACCGTACGCCTTCGGTCCCCGACTTGCAACAGCAAATAAACGTAACAACGATAGATTTATTTCGATAACGAAAAACAGTATCTCCGTCATCGATCCTATCCGCATGCGAGAAACCGACGATTTCTACAAGGTGATTTACTCACGTCTTACTCATTAAGTCAAGGTATTAAATCCTTAAAGTAATGACTCCGTAACTGCAGCTTGCACAAATGCATCGCGAGCAGTACAAAGACGAAACCGGATCGCTTCATCCTTTGAACTACTTCAAGAACGATGACTATTTGTATCAATGCGCCCCCGGTACCCTGCACTCGTATTTCTTCAAGTATCCGGAGTACTATACCGAGTACAAAGTCCCTCCGGTGCTTCCACTAACATACGGAAGAGCAACGAAGACACCCTACATCCCCGAGCTCGCATTTCCCGGCATCTACGATCGCGGAAGCTGTACCGCTTACAAACGTTAATCACGTTCTAATCTTCAAAAACGGAGAGACGAAAATACTAATTCGTTCATAATAAATAAGACTCACAATGAATAAGACCGAAACGTGTACTCCGTAATCCAACCCAAACGTCCGGTTCGAACGAAACGACAAACGAAGCCCTGGGTCACTCGCGGCTACTTTTGATATTTACCCTCAACCTTTCAATATTTGCGTTATCAGTTTTACGCGCGTACTCGCGCGGATCGGTACCTAATAAACGACTAATTTAATCCCTGTAACCGTTCACACGCTGGTTGCATATTTGCCCGCGGTGTAAGCTCTGTCGGCACGTATCCATATTTATACAGAGCGCGAAATGACCGTGGAATCGTTGGGCGGAACGGATCGAGTAAATCGCATCGATGGCGACTCAATAATCGATGTCGCGGGCAAACCTAATAAGAGAAACGAGTAAAGTGGAGGACGACGAGGGAATTTCGGGAGTTCTTTCGTTTCCCTGGTATACGCGTTTCGTTCCAAGTCGAGTCCCCGGCTGCGCGGCGCTCCACTCGCGAGGCCGAAAGTTCGTCGAAACTTCGCTTATTTCTCTGGGCGCGGTGTCAGGAAAGACACATCACTTGCACCCTCTGCAGCCAAAGGGTATCTGCAAATTACCCGGGGCATAGTTTGGGTCTCTTTTGCTCGATCGGCTGGCGTTTATTCCGCAAAATTCAGGCGAGCCGCCGCGATGTATATCCGTATATACATATATAGCCCGCCCTCTCGGATATACGAGTACATACTCGCTCCATTATAGCCGCGTAAGACAATAGCATTATTGTCCCATAAGCCATAATGGCCCTATATCGCGGGCGAGAAAAGTTGCACGGGCGTTCCCGCTATGCGCCAGACAGAGAGCCAGAATAATCGCCCCCCGATATATCGAGAGAAAGAGGCAAATAGCGTACTTACGTAACGCGTACATACGCTGTGCCGAAATCGGCCCTACGAGCGAATGGGTACCCAAGCTCGCGGGTTCGCGCATATGACGAGCACGCGATTTATCATCGGCCCACGATCGATCCGATTCACCTGTCGCCGCCAATACCGACGTATTAAGCGAAGAACATCTAATAAATTATTCATTCGGACGAATACGCGGAAAGTACTGTCAAGAATATTACACGACGCGATCATAGGCGCTGGCAGTGGTTTTAATCGATGGTGATAGTGTAAATAAATGAAAGTTACATTGTTCTTGGCAGAAAAGTCGGTGCCGAATTTTCCGGTACGTATGCAGACGCCCTCGATAACGAATTAAAAAGTCGAAGCTCCGCTTGAAAAGCATCGTTTTTAATTATTTTGAATGTTCAAGTTAATTCCGGTATGCGAAATGAACGAGCGATCGGACCTTTTCCGACACTGGATACGTCGCATCGTCGTGTCTAAAATGTGGTTCGCCATGGGTAATCGGGGCATGCCGATCGCGTCGTGTCCCGCGTGCGTATGTACGCGCGTACACGTCGCACGTATGTACGGCTTATTCCGGAGACCCGGTCGATTCCGATCCGTCCGTTCTCGTTGAACCCCGTCAATCGAACCGCTGCTTCGATCGAGTCATCGAGAGCGACTCGATTGTCGCCGTCAAAGTCTGGAAATGAAGGCATTAATGGATCGTCAGTGACGGGATTCTGGCGCGTACGCTTCATGAGCGCAAAATCGGGATTCGTTCGAATCCACTTGTCGAGAGGCCTAATTTAACCCGAGGGATCAAACAATTTTAAAGACTCCAATTTCACGGCCCCTTTGAAAATACGGTTACCAAAATGAACGGACCAAGGTATGGGGATACGTTTCGATAACGAAGCGTTGCTCCAAGAAGGAAATAATAAATAAGTGAACCATCATTACCGAAAGACCGGAGTTATTAATTAATACTTATCAGCAATCGGAAATGCCTCGGTCAACCGAGTTCGCGCCGTTGAAAAAGAGTACGCGGATCTATAGATTTGCCGGGATACTTCTCGTCACTCACGTTCGCCAAGAACGCCCGTCGGAGGAGGCACGAGCAAATCGATGCGTTTCCCGGAAAACGAAGGACCCCCGACAGAAAGGGAGAAATAATGAAAAATTAGCCAGGTCGACGAAGGGAAGCGGCCCGGAAGGTGGCGGTTCAAGAAAAAAACCGAAGGAAATTATCAGGCCGCGCGATGTCACGGCGGTTCCAACTTTCTTAATTATTTCAAGCCGAGGACTCAGGTGATATCGGCGACGTTCCACTTCGTCCTACTTAATTAATGTCGACCGCCAGTGGACACTGGGGACAGAGCTTAAAAAGTACTTAACTACCGTGACGGTGTCAGAGATCCGTTTACGACCTTAAACCCTGGCCAAGGCAGGGACTCCTTAAGAAACGAGGAGCCGTCGCGCCGTATCCGATACACTTGATCCCCTTAAAGTCCAGTATCATTCCGATATTTCCTATTTACGCCGTTATACAGTTTTTATCGTTCCTCCTCGTCATCCGAGAGATACCCTAGGATTTCCGTCCCCGGACCGTCCCCTTCGCAGAGGCCAGACGAGACGGAAAAATAAACGAAACGAGGACGTCCCTCGAAGCGAGCCATCCGCGATTTCGAGATTTAATCGAGGTGTAACCGAATCGAAAATAATTATTTTTTGAACGGGCCGCGGGAGAGGTTTTTTTGCGAAATCCTAAAACTGGCCGTCCACGGGAGGAGAATGCCACTCACCTGGGGAACGGATTGCTCTAAAAGTTTGATGAAATCGCTAGCGAATTGGCAATATTTCATATTCACCGCACGAGCCATACCGGCAGGTATAAACAATTTTTATCGTCGACTGCTTTACGCGGTCGGCCGGTATATTTATTACAGTAGCCCATCGGCAAATCGTAATTCGTCCCCGGGCGAATTACGAGCCGGTGGAACTAATTTAGGGGGCGATTTTCTGTCAGAAAGGAAAACTATGAAAAACGCCGTTCGCCCGGGCACGATCGATGCGTAATTACCCTCTTCGATATTATCGTCGTTCACCACATCGGGACATACGAACGAAAGAGTCACGCAATTTTCCCCTCGATTTCCCGTCCGGTACACCCCGTAATAACGTTTTATCCACTTAGGGAGGAAAATGAAAGGAAACTACTCGAGGACGGTCAATAATAAAAATTGCCGGGGTCAGGAGTTTGAATAACTCCGGACCGCGGAGAAGAGGACGAGAGAGTCGAGAATCTCCCGAGTACACCTATCGAGTAAAATGGTTCGCTACCGGTTCGGAACGCGATACGAGTCGAGAACTCTTCCCGAAGTATCTTCGAGTAGGATAGTTCCGGGTACTCGTACAATATTTCTCGAGGAACGTCCACCGATGGTCGATCTGAAATTTCCGACACACGACGTCGGGGGTTGACACACCGCGGCAGTGGTCGCCCTGAAATCTAAAAGGCGGGTCCACGTTTTCGGAGTATTTCGTCGTCCGGCCTTTCTTTCCCGGGACGTTCGATCGGACCCCCGTGGAAAAATAAGAGTCAAATTGGATTTTCCGCCATACACCGGGGCAATATTGACTCGAAAATTGGCCCGGAAATTGTATTAACATTTTATTTAATCGCCATCGGTATGCCTGGTATTTCAAATAAAACTTTCGACGGTTATTAGCGACAGCGAGGGCGGGACGGGGGATCATTGGAATATTTCGAGAGACTCGGCGGCACGTGAAACAAAAGAGAATTCTCGACCGATCGATTACAACAACCTTATGTTCGTTCTTTTCAAGATCTTGGAGTTTCGGCCAACGGCATGTTATAATTCGCGTGATTTGCACTGTAGGTTGTAATTGCGCACGGAATCCAGCGCGTCCAAGCGCGGAAATGAAAAGTCGGAAATTCCGCCATTCGGAGGACCGCGACCTGAGAATCAACCAAATCGCCGTTCTCAAGATTTTGAATGTGTACTTAGTGCTCGAATTTTATAAATATTTCTAACAGGGTATAACTCCGCGGTAACGGCGAGAAGAGTCACCGCGAGGAGTACTTGGGACGTCAAAAAATTGGCCAAAATCCAGGACACCCGGGAAACGGGCACGAGGAATTGTCCGGATCTTTCGGGGGTCTTCCTCGAGCCGAGATTTGCCCTCGCAAAAGTGCGAACTCAAAATCCGTACGTGGCGCGTCTCTCCGGCGAAAACAATGCCGACTTCATATCGCGCACAATGCCGCGAGCCGTCATATATCGAGATATCATTGAAAGGCCGTGCATTCGGTGCATTCGGAACAACGATGCACGATGATCGCGATGCATACGATTCGCGTTTTGCGCGTGACCATTTTTTATCGACACCAGGAACGATTCTGACGATTTTTCAAGAACTCTCATCCCCGCTTTCGAATTCGCCGCACTCTTGGAATCGAGGGGCTCGCAAAAATCGCCTAATCCGATTTAACCGAACGTCTCGCGGATTCTAGGCGCCGTCCAGATATCCCTGTAATTGTTGGGCACTCCGGTAAGGCATCCAACGAGCTCGAGAGTAGCTCCGAGCAACGTCGTGGAACGTTCCGATGACTATCGACGCTTTAATGGAGAGCGCGAAGGGATGAGGGCAAAACCGAGCATGCCGGTACAACCCTTTGGTGCTCTCCACCCACATCGCATCTAAAAGGTGTACTTCGAGACCCTCGCTCCCCTGATACGGATCGTGTATGCATTTGGAGGGCGCGGTTCATTACTCCGTGTAACGTTTTACAATTTGTATCCGACTTTGAACATTCGACGTTCCATCGCGATCAAAAGGACGGCCATGGTGGCGTTAAAACGCTCGCGAGTTTTTTTTTCTTTCGCTTTTTTCGCTCGATTTTTTATCTCCTCCGTTTAAAGTTTCGCCGGAGTCCGGTCCGTTCCCGGTCACTTCCGTTGGTAAGGTTCCGAGGAGGCGTTCATATCCTCCATCCCCCGGTGGGAAGAAAACGTCGACCGAGGCTATAAGAAAAGTCCTGATCCTCGTGAAATTTAATTTTTAATAAAAAATAGTAAAAAAATACCTATAAACAAATTTTTAAACGCTTCAAATTACACGGGGGTCAGGACTTTCCTTGTAGCCTCCGTATTCACGGAGTAAGGTACGAAACGATTAGGTACCCCCAGTTTGAAGAAAAGTGTCACGAAAATGCCACTTTCGCTCCCCCTTAAGGGCCCTTATCACCTTCTTGCACTTTCCGATAAATGATCGGGATCCCTCGCGTCTCTCCCTCCGTCCCTAATCTCGTTTGCGACATTAACTCGCTCGCGTCCGAAACTCGACCCGCAAACCCTGTGCGCGCCCCGCGAATTGTGGGCCACGTCGCGATTAATTTAGCGTTACTTGCGCAAGCCGCACTTCGATCTACGAGGTGTAGTTTAACTTGGAGTCGCCCAATTCACCGAGGGACCCGGAGCCGTCCTCTTGGTCGGCTTAACGTTAATCGTCCGACTCGACCCCCGGACGGCGTTCCGCCTCGTTTTGCAGCCGAACCGATCGTCCGAGTCCGAACGGATTACGAAACGATTACCTGGCTCGGTACCGCGGGTGACGTCGCGGGAATCCAACGTTTCGATCGATACCGCGAATATTAATAATTTCAGGTGGCAATGCTCGACCACGATCTCGTCAGGGTTGCTCTTTTTGTCGCGACCGGCGGTCGACGCGCGAGGCCGTGATGGATGATTAATATTTCATCTTGTATCGGGGCATAATGGGTCCCACGTATCGGCGGCAGCCTTTGGGAGTATTTTTCCACCGATCGCGACCATCGATCTCCGCGGCTCGAGCCCCGAACGTTCCGATATCCGGCGATATTTACCAGCGCCCGGCCAGGACGGACGGTCGGATCGAGCTTAAAGCCGGCCAATAATTATTACACGACGCGGGAGCGGTTATTGTCCCAATTCGTGCTGGTTGCGGATAATGGCCGGGGCTCGAGAGGTCACGTGAAGCTGACGTTCCAACGTGTCAACGGCAACTATGCATCATCGGACGTCGGCCGCACGTAACGCATCTTGGTGGTACGGGGGTGCGGAGGGTGTTCATTACAATGAACAGACGACGGTCGGATGAACTCGGTCCTCGCCGAGGTTCGCCGCGAATCCCGGAATCTCCATCTCGCTCCTCCGGGAGATAAAAGTAAAAGGCCCTCCCGAACCTCTCGGCCACCTTGGCACGCGAAATCCCGCGTCTCCCGCGTCTCCCGCGAATCCTCCTTCCGTCCGTCCCCTCCGGCCGCGTTAACGAAACGCATCGAGCACGCCCTTTTACGTTCCCGGAGCAGTTCCGAGCGCGTTAGCCCGACGATCGAATAAAGCCGGGCGAGAAGAAGGAAGCCGAGCGGCGTCGCTCTTTCGGGAGCGGACGGTAATACGGTCGACTCGAGGAAGGAAGAAACGAGGAAAAATACTCGACCGGCGGCGAATCCTCCGGCGAGCCGCGTCGACGGCGTCTCGGGGACCTAGGGAAGCGTCCGGACCGAGCGGGGAGATTGGAAAGGACGGCTCGGCGTTCTTGTCGACAGGGTGTTCGCGCAGGCCGAAGAAAGTCGACGGCTCGTCCGTCCCCGAAATTGGAGTGGATGGCGGCACCCAGACAATGGCCGGAATCGTATCGGATCCCGAGCGAGGCGCGCGGGCGCCACCGGCGGCACCCCGCTGCCATTGTCTTCGGCCCTTGCACCTGAACCGCGTTAAAACCACCGACCTGGGACGCGCTGGCGATTGCCCATTGCCCCGCGGGAGAGCCAGCGGACGCGACGGGACAGGGGAAGAGAAAACTCGGGAAAACTCGGGAAAACGGATCGACGGGTCCGCCTCGATCCAAGACGGCCGCCGCGCGAGAGTCCCCACCTCGACGCGTAATTTTTCGTTCTACGTCGAATGCGAGGATTCGCGCCGTCCGCGGTGACGCGCGAAGAGAGGCGGGCGTTAAACTTCCACGAATTGATTTACGAAACGCGAGCAAGGGCAAAGAAACGTTTACGGTCCCCCGGACGCCGGCGTGCCCCTTCGCGCTCCCCATTGCGCGCCCTTGCACCTGTAACGCGTTAAAGTTCGCGCGGGCGTCTCAACGCCCCGGAGAATATAGGGGATGCGCATATTGGCCTGGCGAATTGATCGTCGATGCTCGCCGGCCCTGAATTCGCCAGGTAATCACCACGGGCGCGCATAAACTTCATTAATTGCGGGTATGAATTGATTGCGGTTGATTAGCCGACGGTCGGCTAGGTACGTAATGGCCGGCGCGATCCCCCGGCTGTATTTATTTAATTGTGCCGGTCGCGCTGGCGAAACGCGCCGGCCGAACCGGAGGCGGGATTTACAATCGTAACAAACTCCGGTGGAAACGGAGCCGGGTGGACCGCACGGCCCGATAATCGCCGACTGCGAGCCGAGTCGATCGTCCCGCCAAACGTGGGAGATCGGACGCGTCGCCTTCCCGATCGATGGCGATTAAACCTCGAGTGCGGCTTGCGTCGTTCTGCCCCTTTAAGATCCGAGTATGTATTATAATATATATATTTTTTTTTCTTGATTAAAACGCGTCGTCGGAGAGCTCTCGTCCCTCGCATGCTGACCTACCCCGCGGGAGTTGGATCTCGTCCCATTATGCAAAACAGCGCGTTGTCGATAGTTCGGAAAGTCGAGATTCAATAAGCTTAATTAAAAGCTCGGCGAATTCCCGAAAGACGGGGTCGCGCCGTTTCCCCGGGACTGCCAATATTTAGGAAAAATTATTTTCGCGGACGCGGTGGGAAACTCGATTCGAGGATGGCCCTCGAGGAGGTGGTTCTCTCTCCGTCTCCCTCTCCGCTGTTCTCAGCTTCTCTAGGCGTCCGGGCCGTTCGGAGCAAATTTCCTCGTCCTGAGAAAATTGAACGCGAACTTTACGCCCGGCCGAGGAGTTTCCGGCCCGATGTCGATACGGATGGGCGGCAGATTTTCCGTTTGGACTTGCTGCGAGTCCATGGGATATCCATGGGCGAAAACGGTCGACCCGATCTAGGCAGGCGCGAACAAAATATTGCGAATCCTCGCTTTGACGATACGGTCAATTTGAAACGCGAGGAATTTTGGAAAATTATCCGAATCGGGCCGTGTCGAAAAGTCGGCGTTAACTCGCCCACCCCGGCGTGGCCCACCGGTGGCCAATGGGAAGTTCCCTGTAATGCCCGTAATCTCCTTTGCTCCGGGAGGACAACCGAGTTTTGGCTCCACCGGGAGCACGTTAAACTCCGTTAGAGCGTAATACCAAAAATTCCGTACACTCTACCGACGGTATTTCAAGCTGGCGACCTCCGATCGACGTTAAATAGTCCCGGCCTGCCATAAAATAACACATTAAAATATTAAATTCCCCGGGACAGACCTACTTGTGCCCGGAATATTTTACTCTCGGTGGAACGGTCGATGAAATATTCGCAAAGGGTACCCTCGCCCGGTGGAATGTCGATTATTCGAATTATCCGTAGAGTTGGCGGTAGGTATCATTTAAGTCGAGGACCCGAAATATGTCCGAAACGAGCAACGTCCCGCGAGGTGGTCCGATTAAAATGCGAATTAACGATCGAGATTTTGTTCAAGACCCGGGACGAGATGGGCGGTTTGTTCTCCGGTTTAGGTCGAGCCACGAGGTCGGGACACGCATGCCGGGCCCCATTTTGGACCGGCGAACAAAACGCTCCGAGCGAGGATTATCTCGGCCGAACCGTTCTCGCCAAACCCTTTCAGCGGAGCCGGAGCGCGGCTCTGCTCTCTTAAAGCGAATATGGCGTCGTCGCTCCGGTGCCCGTTTTCACGGAAAATTAATTACGTAACGACGTTGCGCTTTGGTTATTCGATAACGTTCTACGTGGCGGAGTTTAAATGTCCAAAAGGTATTATATAAATTTCAAGAGCGGGGTTTCTCCTTCCGCCGGAGACGAGTCTCCGGCAGTCGTGCTCCGTGACGCCGTCTTTGACGGTCCTCCGTTCGGATTATTCCTCGGATTACTCTTCGAGATAGAACGTAGGGACACGTGAATAAATTGCCAAACGAGATAACGACGCGATCGTAAGTAGGTAAATCGATATACTCGTATTTTATGTTATGGAGTGTAACGAAATATGTATAAAGGCATGACCGGACGGCTCCTGCGATTTAAGCTAGAAAATATTAGAGCCGTTAATTTTCTTTTTTTGGTTCATCGCGTTCAGAGTTTATTGAACGTACGCCGAGTACGCCAGGATAGGGTCGGAAGAGAGGTCCTAGGGGAATCGAAAAAGGCGAAAAATGTCGAAAGGGAGCGGAGGGGGCCTTGCTCGACGGGTGTCCGAGGTGCATTCTCTTCCCCTTGACTGATGGAGCCGACGCCAAATAATTGGTGTCCGTCAATTAGATTTGTCAGTAGTGCGATCGTCCTGATTGAATTAGCAGCGTCCCGGCAGAATCGCCGCGGTTCGTCCGCCACGTTCCGTTTAAATTTCTGCCCTTGCCGAATGCGATTTTATTGGCCCGATCGCGTTAATTCGTGCGCGCCAGGCGAAATGGCGTCGCATCTTCGGCGAAATTCGTTGTTGGTATCGATCGATCGGCGAACGATCGAAATCGTATGAAGGGACTCGCAAATAATGGAGAGATTTTATAGATGAGCCACTAGCTTGGAAAGTTCCTTTCTCAGGATCTTGCCCGAGGGACTCTTTGGTATTTCGTTGACCAATCGCACTCCACCCCTGAGCCATTTCCACGATGACACTTTCCCTGTAACCAGTAACGAGATCTTTAAAGTCTGTGAACCTTAATGGTCAGATCTACGGATTGCTAACAGAGATCATTCGCAAGATCGTTAATCGAATCTATTTAAAAATGAAAAAAGCGAAGAACCGTTGAAGTTCCACGTGAATTTCAAAGCTCGACTCACCGTCGACGTATCGACGTATCTCATTGGGAGATATCTTGGACCCTGGCTGAAGAACCACAAACGCCACCGGTATTTCTCCGGCCACTTCGTCAGGTTTTCCCACGACAGCCGCATCCTTGACTTCGGGGTGGGACAGTAGGACGTCCTCCAGCTCCGCCGGAGCGATCTGGGAGCCCTTGTACTTGATCAGCTCCTTAAGTCTGTCGACGATGAAGATGAATTCTTCATCGTCGTAGTAACCGATGTCTCCTGTGTGCATCCAGCCTTCTTGATCGATCATTGCCGCGGTGGCTTCCGGGTTCTCGTAGTAGCCCAACATCACGAGATCCCCCTTGACGCAGAGCTCCCCTCTCTGGTAAGGACCCAGTATTTTCGAAGTTTCCACGTCGATTATTTTGCAATGGGCGCTGGGCAACAGGATACCGGCCGTCTCGAATTTTTGCACGTTCCTGGGACACAAGCAAATGGCGGACCAGTGCTCGGTTAAACCGTAGGCATTCCTCGCCCAGATTCCCGTTCGCTTCCACACCTGGATGTGAACCTGAAAAACACGGGGCATCGCATACTATCTACATAGTACGTATCGTCTTAAGGTGTCCAAACATTTTTCGGTCGATCCAATCGCGAAATTCTAGATCGGCGTGAAACTTACGTCCTTCGAAAGAGGAGCCGCGCCGCAGATAAACTCGCGAACGCTGCCGAGGTCGTAATTGGTGACTATCAGACTCTTCGCCAGAAAAACCATGATAGGCGGCACGATCGGCACGTGGGTCACTTTGTGGTCCTGAATCGTTTGCAAGAATTTTTGCGGCTCGAATCCAGTTGAGAGAACCGCGGTGGCGCCGGCTCGAAGCACGCCCATTAACAGAGAAAATCCGTATCCGTGGAACAAGGGCAAGAAGATGAAGACCTTGTCGTTCTCACGAATGTCAACCCACTCCGGCAGTCTAGAAAGTAACGTTATCGACCGGTTGTTACGAGGTAAATATTAAATTCGAAAGGAACGTTTTCCCCGTCTACTTTAAATAATTCAACAGGTCTCAGCTCTGCATATACTCGCGGCTCGATACTCTTTACATAGGGATGAGGTACCTCATAGTTGCTTTACCGTAACCTGATGACGATAATTTTAGGGCGAATGGATTGCAAATATACTAGGATTCGGTGAGAATTGTCAGCAGAGTTGAAAAATGCTTTTTTACCGCAGCTGTCCGACTTTTCCAACGACTCACAGCGATATGGTGAGGTATGTTAAAACGTTCCTGTGCGACAGTTGCACGCATTTCGGTCGTCCGGTGGTGCCACTGGAGGATAAAAGCAAGGTCCCACATTTTTCGAAATTTGGAATGGATACTGCCTTGTAACTCCCGGGATCCGGTGGATTTTTTACTCCTCGAAGGACGCTTCTCAAAGCGGGGACGTCGTTCGACGAATCCTCTTCCCCCAGCAGAATTATCTCCAAGGGCCACAAAAAGGACTGCGCGGTCCTTTGAGCGACTTTCTCAGACTTCTTGGAGACGAAAATGATCCTCGGCTTGGCAATCGACAGGATATGTCGGGCCTCCCCTGGAATTTAATTATCTTCACTCGAAAGTGCGTAAATAATTGCGTAAATAGTATGAACTTCGTGTTTGTTCAAATAAAGATGTAGGAGACAATACTTGGGATGCGAAATCTCAACGAATGACGAGGTTTTTCGGGGCAGCATTTTTTAAGGCGAACATGGAACGTGACTGGCTTTCCCGATAATTCAATGTCGTATGCTAAAGAGCAATGCGACGGAACGGGGATTAAATAGGACAGCACGGTCGTAACTTTTTCAGCGGACGGAATGAAATCGCGAAAGAGGACCTCCAGAATTCATCGCGGGGAATCACCTTCCGTGTAAGCGGGATTGATGGGTACTAGCACGGCTCCGAGGTAAAAAGTGGCGCACATGGGCAGGACCCAATCGAGACGGTTCTCGCTGAAAATGCAGATCCTGTCGCCCATTTTCAGACCCAGCAGCCGCAGAAACTCCGCTAGTTTTATGCTTTCGCGAAGGACGTCGCCGTAAGAAATGGCTTCACCCTTGGTGACGTCCACCTGTAAAAACAAAGTTAGGACCCTGTAACGGAAGAGCGCCGAGAAACGAGATCACCGGGACATTTTTGACATTCATCGCGATCTCGTCGATCGGTCTTTAGGAAGAAAAAATCAAAAGCAATAAATCGGGAAAATGTGCTCACCGCTAATTGCAGGAAAAATAATCAACCACGGGAGAAACGAACGATAAGAGTCGACGCAGAGGAATATCGTGGGTGTATCAGGACTCAAAGTCGGTAAATTGGGTTGAAAAACGACTCGAAAGTAAACCCGTTGGGAAATGGGTTAGAGAAAATGGCGCGTCGGCTGGAAACGGGTTACGGAAAACGGATTACGAAAAATGTAACCCGTGTTCGCGTAGGTGCTCATTCCGCCCCGCGAAGTTACTCTCGAAGTCATTTCTCGTTTTTCTCTCGTTACCCGCAAAAGGCAAACCTTACCCTTCATTTCCCTTAATTAGCTCGAAAGGGAAACCTATTAGCGATGAAATTAATTCGTTCTCGATGCTTACAGCGGCGATTCGATCCTGGTGCTTGCGCAAGCCATCTAGAAGGAAATCTCCTACGGAATTGTGTTGTAATTTCGGAGCCGGAGGACCGCGAAAGATCCTTGCTCCAGCCTTGTCACCGGCCTTCGGCGTCATTTCCGCTTCCTAGGGGCTCTCACTCTAGTCGATCAAAGATACCCCTTCGCTGAAAAAAAAAAAAAACAACTAAAGTACCCCTTCATTGAACGTTCATTAAATATTTGAAGTCAAACTCGTCCGGTAGAGTCGTATAGAGCTATTCGGTGATAGGACGATCCCCGAAACATCCGACAATTTTCACCTCCCCTTCGCATAAACAGGGAATTTTCACCGTTACTCTATGCAACGCGTTAATTCCTCCATAACCGGTATCTTGTAAATATTTATATTTTATCTGATAAGCGAACGCGACAAAATCAACTCAAAGTGCAGTTTCGGTAGGATTTTAATTAAAGCGAGATACGCGGGTTTAAGTGTTTAACAGATGTCCAAACGGTAACTCTATCGCGGTTACGCCGCATTTTTCACGAAACAACGTTATTCCGTCAACGCGTGATCAGGGGACAGTTCGTAAAAATACCCTAAGTAAAGTTATTCTTACAGGGTCCCGGACTGCCGAAGAAAAGCTCGAGCTTTCCCTCACAGGTGCCGATACTCGACGAAAGTCAAATGGGAGGTTGGACCGGATGTATCCGTGACACGTCCGACGGGTGCTGCCCTGGGACCCGTCAAAGTGATTTTAAAAAGGGGAGCGTGAGGATTTACTCGCGATCGATTCCTCGAAGCTCTTCCGAAGATTCCGCGTCCATTGGCGACAGGACAAACGGCGCTTAACGCGTCGCGAATCGTCGGGATTGCGTCGTTAATTCAAGGCCTGCGGTTCGACGAGTCGAATCACCCTGATTGAGATTTGCTTTGATTACTCGGGAAACCGGTCGGAACGGACGATAGGGACCCGGTTGTTCTTCGGACGGCCTTTTAAACGTTAAACTCGCGCCGCGATTTCCCATTCAGCCTCCGAAACCGGGGCGTTGCCCGGGAGGACCTCGATTACCCGAACCCCGAATTTTCCGAGAGCGACCGCGATTAACCGAAACTCGATTTTACGAACTCCCGATTATCCAAACAGCACACTAGTCCGGGGTACGCAAACAAACTTTCGGTCCTCTGTCCACGGCGAGAGCGTTTACTCGACCTCGCGTTACACGTCCAGGGATCTGCCGACTAGGTGAAATTCGACCAAGGGGGCCCTTAAACGAGGCAAGTCGCTCAAAAATGCTGTCCTAATCTTTCCGCGGAACTACCCAACGCGCTCAACGCAACGTTCATTCGGAATTTTGACAATTTATTCGAGTGAAATAATTATTCTTGGAATTAATCGAATATTTCGTTGGGACCGTCCAAGGAAATATTTCCTTGGTCGGATTGAATTTTTCTTTCTCAGAGGAGAAATTCCATCCGCATGCGGATAAACGGGTTACTCGACTCTCGCTAACCGCATTCGACGCAAACGCTCTCTTTCGCGCCGTTCCAAGATTTAATTGGAAGCCGACGGGGGTGACCCTTCGCCAGGACCCGATAGAATTTCTGCCCGGCGTTCCCCGAGAGCGAGGAGCCGGGAATGCGTTCGGAGGAATCGTGGAACTCGCGGAGATTCGGGGCCGGGTCGTGGCACGCTCTCCGCGACGGCAGCCACGCGGCCGAGCCGGCGTGTGCCGGCGTGTGCCGGCGTGTGCCGGCGTGTGCCGGCGTGTGCCGGCGCGTGCCGGCCCTGGGCGCCCTGATTGTAACGCCCATACTGGAACACGCGAGCCGCATATCTACGATTCTTGGTTCCGCAAGGCACGTCCGGACACCCAGGGAATACTTACGGCGCCCGAGCCCGGGATCCGGGTCCGGGTTCGTATTCCTGGAACGACCGGTGGTCTGCCCCTAACTGGCCGACGGACTCCCGAAACGGGAGGAAACGGCGTTTATGGACTTCGCGCCCCGTTAACGCCTCTCCGTATCCCAGGAGTTGCGGGAACTTATTCGTTTACCCGCCGACGCTGGCAAATTGCTCTGAAATGCGGAAAATCCGTATCTCGAATGGTGAAACGCGACAAAGGTAGCGCCCGATGGACCGTTTCCCGCGAGGGGACGGTAATTCAAGAAATCATGGATTCTACCGCTCGAAATCAGCTGGAAATGGCAAGCAGAAATCTCCGAAAGACCGAGCCAATCGGCTGTCAAAGAAGGAAATCGTTTTCACGGTTCCTCGGTTTCGGACCGGATTGCCGGATTTCGCGGACAAGCTCCCATTTATTTACGCTGCATCCGGGGAAAACGCCGGTGCGGAGACAAACGGCCTAAGGAGCGACGAACTCGGGGCAGGGTTTGCAAAGAGCGCGGGAAGAATCGAGCGGTCCTCGTTGCGCCGTTCGCGTCACTCAAAAGGTACTTGCCGCGAGATGGCAATGGCATGGATGCAATTGGCGTCCCGACGGAATCGGCCGATCGCCGTCGAAGCTCGGAGTCGCGACGGGGAACGAATCCCGTCGCCTCGTCGAATTCACGGGGGTGAATTAACGGGCTGCCACGAGCTCTATAGCGGTGGGTTTTGATAACGCGTGACTCTATCTCGAATTCTCGCGCGCACAGGTAGTCTGTTTACTTAAGATAATAGGGCCGGTGGGTGGGGGAAGTGCCCCGCGAAGAGGTAAAGGGATATTTCAGCAGGCAATGTTAAGTCGGCGAGGTCGAGGGGATGCGAGGTCGAAGGTCGGGGCGGGGGCGGGGGCGGGGCGGAGCGGGGGGCGCGCAGGCAGCGAGAGAGGGGCTCCGAGATTCTCTCTCGGCGAGCTACAAGAACTTCATTTTCCAAGCCATTACGCCCCATCCCCCTGCACCTCCCGGAAACCCCTTTACCCCTTAAATTAATTTATATCGAAATTTTAAATGACACTCATCGGGCCGTGCAATAAATAACGCGAGCGGAGCCGCCGCTCTCGCCGAGGAGCCCCCGCCATTTCCGGATTCCGCGTTTAGGATTTCCCGCCCGAGGGTGGCTTTGGATTTCGAACCTATTCACCGGCCATTTTTTCACCCCCGTGTCGACGAGCTAACGCCCGCGTCGCCAAATGGGGGATTTCATCCTGGAATCTCGTTGCGCTCGGTGCGCACCGTCAACACGCGCCGGTGTTAAATCGAGCCGGCAGCGTTCGCCCCTTCTGAATTTTTCCCGCTCTCGGAGGGATGCTTTCCGGGTATTTAAATTTCCCCCATCGACCTCGCGAGAACAATTTTTCCTCGAACCTGAGAATACCCTCCGATTCGATTTTCCTCACCCTTTGCGAGATACGCAAGGGCGTTGTTAGACGCAACGGGGAAGGGCCAAACGGCCCGTCCGGGTTCGGGACCTACCCGTCCTTCGAGTTTTCGCCGATCGGCCGATTCGCCCCATTCGAGCGACTCCACCCCTGGAGATCTCTTCGAGTTTTCCTCTCGCCGTTTAATTTTTCCGCCCGGCCGCATACGGCCCGCGGAATCCGGGCATCGCTCAACGTCGCCTTTTCGATTTTGCGCGGCTCCGCGCTACTTCGCCGCCACTTTCGCACTTTCCTCCGTACTTTCTCCTCTTCCTTTTTCCCTGACTCGCCCCTCGCTGCGCGGGGTAAAAGCGTCGCCTACGCGCGCGGAATAAGAGCCGCGAGATGCTCCAGTTAAACTTCCTCAAGGTCGATAAGCAGCTTGGCCTCGTCCACCCCTCTTCCGGAGGAGGATCTTGCGGATCCTCCGCTAAAGTCGTTTCCCGAAAACTTTTCCTTTCCAGAAAATAAAAAAAAAAAAGGTACTTCTCGGTTTACGCCGACGGAACAATTTCCATTCGTTATTAGGTGAGCCGTGTCTTTTCTCGTGGCGGCTTCTGAATTTTGCTCGACGGTATTCTTTGCGAGGTAATTTTTCGCGGACTTGGAAATTCACGAAAACCGGAAGATCGATCGGGCCGGGACGCATTTTGGCAGCTCGGCGGGGAGGAGCGGCGAAAGGAAGGCTGCGCTTTAAAGATACGCTTTTCGAGTGCATCGATCCTTTCAACTGTCGGCCCCGGGACGCGGTAATTAAATCATTCCGCGTTCGCGCCGTAAATCGCGTTATAATGCGATCCTACGTAAATCCCCGCTGCATCGGAGTGAACTCGGCGATGTGCGAACAAGAATCGAGCGCCGCGGATTCGCAAGAAACGAGATAGAATTCCGCGGCGCGATGCTCGTCTCGGGGTATCGGAACATGATGCGAGGTTGGGCCGAAGCCTTCGAGATTAAAAACCATCTTCGTATGCGTATTTTGCGTATTTTGTATTGACTAGGGTAGGAAAGAGAAGAGCCGCACTTTCAAACCTGGTATCTTTGTCTAAGGCAACGGGAAAGTGGCGTCAAAGAGGTCTCGTTCATGAAAGTTTTCTCTAATCCAGGGGTATCGAAACGTTTCAAACTTTACAACGTGAATGTAAAAGCTTTAACAAAGTTCGGGACCCCCATGAAATTTTAATCGTTTAAAAATTCGTTTATAGGTATTTCTTTAATTATTTATAATACATGAAATTTCATGGGGGTCGAGACCTTCCTCGTTGGCCCCACATTCACGTCGTAAGGTTTGAAACGATCCGGTACATCCACTCCGGAGAAAAGTTTCATAAACGATTGACCCCTCGGATGCCAGTTTCACGACCCCTTAATATTTTAATCGGTTGTAAATGAATCGAGCATCAGGCATGCGGACGAAGCGTGAGCGAGTCGCCACGTGCACCTCCGCTTCAGAAACGCCATACCGTTTACTGCAGTCTGCTGCCGCGGCTTGCCCCCTCTCTGCTGCAGCTTCACTCCGAAACTCGTAACTGCGTTAGTCACCGTATCACTCCGAACCACGGGGAATTTAAATGCTAGTGGACGCGGTTACCCGTTACCGCAATCCACGACTTATGGCAGCACCCATGGTCCCATGCGATCTCGACCGGAACGGGATCCCCCGATGACCGAAAACTCGGCCGCGAATACGGACGTTTAGTTGTAAAAAAAATTCATAAATCTCAACAGGCGCTCGCGCCGTTCGTAAAATCTCGAAAACCGCGTCCACCTATTTTCCGCCCCCGGAGTAATCCAAAACCCCCTCTAATTCACCCTTAAC